TTTGTTTAAAATTGCAGATAAAGAGAATACTTTCAAGATTTTTTGATGCAACTTTTATAAGATAAGTGTTTTTTATTGCACGTTTTCTAATGCTTTTTATTCATACGAAGGAAAAATACCGAGCCACTTGAGCTTCAAGCGCTAGATTTGCAAATGTACCGAAAAAAAAAACTGAATAGCTTCCGTAAGATAAACATTTTTTTCAGTTGCATATCATTCTCGTTTTTCTTCATTGCTAAAAATTGCATAAAACGAATAAGTACTGCATATTCAATATTTCGTCAAAACATTCGCATACAAAAATATATATATATATATATATATATATATATATATATATGTATGTAACTTGAAAATATATAATTCATAACTTTATTTATCAGTATACTGTTTACAGAATAAAAACATTATGAAAGAGAATTAAAAAGAAATCGACGAAAGAGATCCAATAAAATTCCCAGAGAATTCCACGTTTTCCATATTTCTCCGGGGAATAGATACCTTGAATTATCGAATTAAAATTCCATTAAAGTGAAATCTAAAATAGCCGCGGGCACTTTTGCATTATCGCCGTAAGAGATCGGGAATGAAGATAGATAGAGCGAGAAAGGCGCGCGATACTTGGCGTAATCGCCAGTCGCGTGGCAAGTAAATAAATAATTTTTGATCCAAGGCGCATAACTCAGGGGTTACCTTCGCGCGACGACAAGAAATAAGAGGTCGTTTACTAAAGCCATTAATCGCTTATGTTTCGCGCGACGAGAGAAGAGGTATGTCGGCACCCTCCTGCGCGCCATTAACATGGCGTCGCCCTCGTAATCTTCTTTTCGTAATGCAACAACGGAGAGAGGTAACGGCCCCTTCGCACCTGCGTTGCAGCATGCATTTCTTTAACGCTTCCTCGCAGGAAGCGTCGTCGAAATTTATCGAGTGGACAGACAGCTTAGAAGCTCCTCGGGTCTCTCTCCCTCTCTCTCTCTCTCTCTCTCGAGGAAAAACAGCGGCAATAAGAGCGGGAAATTTATTAGGGGCCGCCGCAAAGACGTCGATCGATTACTCGTGCCACTTTACTTGAAATAAACGATTGTCGACCGTAAATAGTCACCCATCTTCTTGTAACTGACCTGTCCCGCAACCAAATATCGCGTTTTCACAGATCGCCCTTTCTATCTTTCGATTAACTCGCGAAACGTCCTGCGAGACATTTGGATAAAATACGCTTGGCGCAATTTTTGCGGCATTTCAGGTGTAATTTGAAAGTATATAAATTATCTCCGAGATATAATTTGCCAGATGCAGTAATGAAATCATGTGCGTGATAGTCGCGATTAAATCTATCGCACCCGACGAGATGGAAAGCCCGGGTAAACGCACTCGAGACGCAACGCTTTCCCCCGCGATTAAATGTATCATCGTTGTTAAGAAGAAACATCGCGATTTCCAATCCCGGCTACCATGGCCGATTAGCGGTTAATTACTTTCCGATAATTTCGCGGAGCGATAACATTTGGCAAGAATCGCGGATCTTCGTGGGAAATGGTCGTTCGTGGATAACGACGATTAGAAAATGCGGTGTCGTTAACGATGCGATTTTCCGAACCATGAGTTGATCCGAAAGAGAGAGATGGGGGGAGGAAAGCCACCATTATCCCTCGATCTATGCGCGCAACATAAAGTGTAATGCGCCCTCTCATCTAATTATGTCCCTTTATTAAAGTCCTGGGTGAATCGAATTAAAAAAAATTGTCTTGTAACAATTTTCTAGATACGAAAAATGAATTAAAATAGATAACTGGGTGAAATAATAATTGATGAATAAATGGAATAATACTGTAATATCGCATAAATTTTGTACTTAATTAATCTAAATGGGCAAAGACGGAATTTATATCTGGAATCTGAATTTTTAGTAAAATTTAGAAAGTGGCGTCAATTATCTATTATCATGTGGCGCCATAATTAATTAGACAGAATCTACATACTTAAATTTTGTAACAAAATTCTCTGAAAATTCCTTGAGCTTCTGGGTATTTTTGTTTAAAATTCCAGGTAAAGAGAATTTTTATAATTTTCTAAGACAAGTTTTTCCACTGCGTACGTTTTATAATGTTTTCCACTCGAAGAAAATATAAAAGGCCACTTAAATTTCAAGTGCTAACAATTTGAAAATATAAAATTATAATAAAAAAATATAAATGGTCTATTCTATATTTTCTTAAGATTGAAACAGAAATAAGATATATATTTATAATATATATTTTAAACGCATAATTTTGTTGGTTCGCTGATTACATGTAAGAACAAAATTATGTGAGAATTTCGGTCCCAATAAAATTCCGTGAAAACTCCCTGATTTTTCCAACTATAAAATAATCTTTGAAAATTTCAGGTTTTCCATGTTTTGAAGACCCTCATATTTGTTATAAAATCCGCGATTATGGTAAGAAAGATAATTTTTCACAAAAATGATTCTGACTATCTGCACTATCGAAATTCATATTTATTTGGTCATTGAATTCAAATTTTCTATTAAATTTTACAAACGACATTACAAAACAATTATCAAAAATTGCGCTAAATTTTTGTTGCGAAATTCAACGAGATCTACCTACCCTCGGGATCAAATCTTTTTTTCCCGCGTCAAGAGCGATTTTAATTTGGCCATCCTTTGCAAATCCGCCGAATCTCAATCCGCGGATTCATTGCGGAAGAAAAATGTCGCGATGCAGTCGACGTGTAACCTTGCGCGTATGCAAATTTTCCCTCCGCGCCTCTCACTGCTTCCCTCCCCGTCCTCGTCTCCGCTCACCCTTTTCCCCCCCTCTCCGTCTTCTTACGAACCGCCGTTCACCGGCGGCTGTTTAAACTACCGTGCGGTTTGACACGCCACAAAGGACCGATCCGTGCACGCTATGGGTGCACTGTTGTCTTTCATCGACGTCCACGAACATCGTATACGAGATCAAATTTCTCACCCCTTCCTCCACATGACGGTTTTACCACATCTATAATTTTTAAATAGGACTTTACGAGCTTAAAAATTACGTCGTCCTCTCTTTTGATACGGTTGCTTGATTCGGTTAATTTCCAGAATTTTATACTCAAAGGTTTTATACATGTGTGTGTGTGTGTGTGTGTGTGTGTGTGTGTGTGTGTGTGTGTGTGTGTGTGTGTGTGTGTGTAAATGTGTATATTTACACATTTGATGTCATGATAGCCTATATTTTGCGGCTTCCATGTATATTTGAATATGAATAAAGTGAAACTGACTGAGAAAGCTTAAAGATCCCAAGAGAGGAAGACGCTCTTCTGAGAGTTAAGAACACCAATGCAACATTAACATGCCATTTCGCATCAAGATGTAATATCGATGAAGATGTCAATAAAAAGTAATATTCTCCAAAGATTTACCTAATTTGTGTTTCGAAATTTCCATTCAAACATTCATTCCAGGAAGTAAAATCAATTTAGACAAAAAGAAGGAGAGCGGAAACAGATGAAGCGTCCCCCTCTCCCACACCGTACATCTTTCTTAAAAACAGCTTTCTAATGCTTTCCTTATTCCGTGTTGATCAAAACTTTAATTTACATTGTTAAATGGAAATTATTATTATCTTCAGTCGCATCGGATCATTCTCGAGTCATCACGATGATGGTAATTTCCGAGGCGGCCTTCCATGAAGCTGGGCTCTTTGTAAGATCGGTTCGACGCACGATCACGTACCCGTGACTCGTCTTTGTATTATTTACTGTTTTTCATCCGAGAACCCGTAACAAATGAAAGTCTTTCGTTAGATAGTTTGATCCTTGGAATGGAATCGCTCGCGAATATCTTCAAAATATCGCCCGCGGCACCGCATCTCCAGAACCTCTCAATTTTACGTCAATCTAAGCATCTATATCGCGAAGTCTAGATAAGAACAATAGAAACTTGGTGAAAAGCCAACCTCCTCTCGACACTCCTATCGCCTGCCATACATTCTCTAATCGACTTACAACAGCTGATCTAATTACAACTAACTTCGCGTATTACTTTGCCCAGGATTTTTACGTCCAACCTAAAGTGTCTTTCGTCTTGTCATTTGGTTTCCATTGATTGTTTTCAACAAAAACGTTCTGACATTGCTCATCAATGCATCTGGGTTCGATAGCAACCCGTCAACTATCGACGTGTTATTTAATTTAAGAATGTTTTGTATCTATTTTCAAAATATTGAGAATTGAATGAAAATTGTACAGAATGTTTTTATATGTTTCGAATCTTCAGTACAATTTTTCAATCGATTCACAAGTTAGAAGGATTTTAATTTGCACCGAATTGTATTCTTATGGGAAACGTATAACCCGTCGATTCAAATGATAAAGACACGTGGAAATAATATTCAGAATTTGTGGAAAATTTGCAAAAGTTTAGATATACAGAGGAAATATTTGGTCAAATAATATCCAAGATCAAATGTAATATTCCACACAATTTCTTACTCAAAATATAAAAGTGGATAATATATTCGTCAATATTGATTTCAGCTACTTTTCGCCGTGATGATTGTACATACAAAACATCCTTAATATAGCGTAAGCTGAAAAGTCTCGCGAATTTGTTGAGGGAAAAATCGTATAGGTATCGAGGATATTTTTGGAATACTCTTCAGACGATCTGACAGAAAAGAGATGCGGCAAAAGCGAGCAACGTTTCAACATTTCCACTGTTGCAAACTCGCAACCCACGCAATGCATACGCGAATCCGGTTTCATTCCTCGACACCTCTCTGCCCGTCCCTCGCGAGGGTGTTGCTTCGCCCCTTCGGAATTATCAATTTATCCGATATTTATCCGGCGAGAGAGGGCGGTCGACCGATCCCGAGCCTGTCTCTCACCCTGGCTCGTGAATCGTCCATTAATTAACCACGATCCCGCGTTTCGACGGAATTAGTTTTTAATCATAGCGTCCAACACGTTCGTTAGGAAAACACGGTAACAAGGATCGGAGGTATACTCACCGGTGCAGAGCAGCAATAAGTTCATTATCGCAATCTGCGTGCGGCGGTTGATCCTCGGCTTTCTATCCATGATTACAGGAGACAGAGTCTGTACCGAGACGAACGAGAGAGAAGGCGAAAACTTGACGCGGGGATAGTAATTTCACACGTGTTTCACCCTCGTTCGCTGCGAAAGCCTCCCCTGGATCCCGAAACTCTCACCGAAGCCGCCGATCGAATAACAATATACGCATAATATACGTCAGTACAATATATCACTCCCTCACTCTGTGTATTTATTTATATTCTCACAGGCTCGTGACACAACACGCGCGCACATCCCAATGACATTCACTGCACGGCTCGTCGCACCGAAGCGGCGACGGCGACGGGAGGGACGCTCGCTCCACCATTCTTCTTCATCGCTTCGTTCGTTTCATCAAAAATTCGATCGATGCCTTCGCCGCTTCCCTCGATCGTCCTCGTCGTCGTCGATCGCTACCTTCCCGTCCTCGGGCGGATGCTCGCCGGCGGTCTTACGGTCTCAAGGATGACACTACGGCCCGACAGACACATCAGGCTCGTTTCGAAGCGAGATGAAACTCCATTTCCACTAGGGCGTGTGTGTATATATGTGTGTGTGTGCGTCTGTGTGTGTATATATGTGTGTACACCTGGTCTCTCGCGGTCGGCGATTTAAATCGAGACCTTCGCCTCTCTCACCTCGTGTCTGCGACGCTCTCGGAAACTGTTATTTTTTTTTTTTCTTTTCAATCACTGTTGGACGACGAGACGGCACGATTCCCTCTCTCCAGGACGATTCTCCTTCCCGGAGGACGAGAATCTGGCGCGAGAAGGCGAAACCGTCGCACGTCCGTCGACACCACCGGTGCGTCTCTTGACAGTCGCACGGCAACTGAGCCCGCGATCTCATCGCGCCTTCGCTGCCCCCACCTCGCGATTCTCGCACCCCCCACCCCTCCTGCGCCCCACCACAACCCCTCGAGCGGCCACGCACGGAGTGCGGCGTTCGTACTACGACTGTAGCACGGCGGTGGCGATGGTGGTGGTTGATGGTGGTGGTAGCGGTGATGGTGGTGGTAGCGATGACGACGAAGACGATGAAGAAGACGATGGTGGTAACCGGCCAGAGCCGGATACACCATCTGCAGGTGCGAGAGGCGCCGTGAGAGAACTCGCTTACCTCGCAGGGTTTCTCAAATCGCACGCGTCCTTTGTACGCGCCGAGGAGAACGGTTCTCGCAATAATTTCGCGATATTTGGTTTTTTTTTTTTTTTTTAAATTGTCGGCAGCGATTTTCCCCCGGAGCGTCGAGTATGATGAATTACGCGCCGCGAAAATATTTCCACACATTCCTACATTTCTATTTGTTATTTAGCGTTATTCGGCATGTCGTAGCTTCATTACGAAATAGCTTTAAATAAAGCTAAGTCTCGAAATATGGTCCCTGCTGCATACATGGTCCCTCTCTTGAGACATATACCATAAGTAAAGTACTTGGACGAGACACTAGGAACTACTTCAACTCGCTGGTAATAGTGCATTCTGGTTATGTGAAGAGGGTGCATTACGTTTTGCCCTCTTGAAACAACGAATTTAATGAGGGCGGTAAATTTTTATAACGTCCTTGCGTGTAATATTACTGTTTACATTTTTACGAGAAGCGTTCTTTTTTTTTTTAAGAGACACAACAGACCGATTCTAAGACGTGACTGTAAAGGGAAAAAAGTGTATTTACAATTCGACATGTCAAAGTGAAAAAAATTACAAACGAGAAATTTGTCTTTGATTATATATTCTTAGATTTGAATAATTTTTTTATTCTCTTGAGGAAAAATACTGCACGCGCGATGCGTGCAAAATTATAACATCAATCGCAATAAAGAACAATGTGCTGGTACAATTTAATTTTACTGAATTTACAACCGATGCGTGTATGATATACGAGCAATCGAGGGTAAAAAAAATCGCTCGATCGCAATAGTTTCGACGTAGTGTTTAATAATGAAATTTTTACTAAACGTACTTTCGATTAAAAATACCCCTTTAAATAACCGTCGCGGAAAATGCATGAAAAATTTCATACAGCCTAGCGGCGTGCGATGACGTCTGCGCTTTAGACAAGCTAATTTTGGCGAGAGGTAATTTTGCCGAAATTTACGTAATTCTCTAATTTGAGAATTGTCTGTTAATCGGTACCTATATGACTGCACATGCGGGGACTAAACGAGTTTAATTATTTTAATTACTTAAGAGAGCTTTCCGGCCAATTTTGCTACAGTATATAGCCCTGAATAAGAATAGACTTGCATTTTTCATTGTATTTATGCATTTTCACGAGCTTCTCATGTGTAACTTCTGTCGTTTTTTCCCCTTGTTAATTGAAACTATTATTTAAATATTCCGCTTATAGAACGGATCGATATGGATTTAAATAAATAAACCCATCTATTTTTCCTCTCCCCTTGTCTCCTCTCTTCATATGTGAAATTCATTCGGAGGGAAAACCGTCTCGTGCTCGGGGCGTTAATATGGCACGAGCCAACCCTGCCAGCGGTGGCGGTTTATGGAATGGGGCGGGGTGAGAGGGGGAGAAGACCGCGCGGGGAGGAAGGGACAGAAGGGTGTCGGCGAACGTTGGGCCCTAGTCGAGCGAGAGCAGAGAAGCGGCGAGGACGAGGGTAAGAGGCTGTGCACGACGGCAGTTTGCCCCCACCGATCTCTACGGCAGGTGGTTCTTTCTCCCGCGGGCTCTCCACTCGAGGGACCACCAAGCATTTCGGGCCGACCGCCTGTGTACCGTCACGAAACGACGGAAACCTGCTGCGAGCGAGGGGCGCGCGTAGAATATTTCTTTTTTTTTCTTTTTATGCATCGCGCTTCTGATCGGATGAAACTCAAATCGTCCTCTGCAAATCCGCAAATACACTCGCGAAATTACGACGCTTACTCCGTCCTGGATTTTTTATTCGTCTCAAACCCTCTCTCTCGTCCCTCATGCGCGTTGCTTCTAAAAAGAGAGGGGGATTAATGTTTTTCTCGCGCGGAGCTTATTTCGGTAAAGTATCGAGCCCGGGGAATGCCCCGGTAACCGTAAAATATGTATCGATACGACAAAATGGCGATATGATACTTTGATTGCCGGTATTGTGGTGTCGTTAGCATTTTTGCGTGTCCAGTCGCAGTTGCGATATGATAGATATCGCGAGAATTTGAAAGAGTTTTTATAAACACACGCTCCTCTCCCCCTCGTTTGCCGATTCTATGCATTAATCATTCGCTTTTTCTCCCCTCCCTTTTAAATAAAAACGCCTCTTTATGGAAGACTCAACTGTTGCGATTTGCATAGATTCGCAATTCGCAGGAAAGATAGCGCCAACGCCGAGATGGCTGGTTTAGGGGCTACACAAAATGGGTTCTTTGTGCGCGCACACACACACACAGTCTCTTTAATATATGTATGTTTGTATCGCTTATTCCGTTGTCGATTGTGACCGTGGAATTCGGGGATGCGCGATGGCATAAATTAGCGTTTGATGCACTGGGGATCTCGCATCCGCGTTGGTAAATGATAAACCGCGTCGCAGAGATTAAAACTGTATTTTGCATTGCACTGTGCGGCGCATCATAGGATGTCGATCACGATGGCCCAGTTGCAGCGGCCGCGGCCATGTAAATTAAACTTGGATCCGATAAATTTCGGCATGTCGAGACAATCTTAATGGGCGAATAATGATGACGAGAGGGCCGATAAAAGTAGCGTTTTATCGCTTTACGCCAGCGGGGAAAATGTGACAAAATTGTTATCGTGGAAAAACGACACGCGAAATACATGAGGAACGTCTGTATCCAGTTATACATGCGTTAAATGCGAGCCGGAGCAGCCAAACCGACATGTGACAATCTCATTTCACGTGGCACGTCCTACCGGAATGCTCGCAGGAATGCAGAGGACGCGTTTATTACGTAACACCACGTTTATTAGAGTCGTATACGACGAGGCGCGCGTGTTGGAGACCGGCAAACTTCAATCTTTCAAGCTTACAAACGAGTCGTTATTTGTCTTTAGCGAACAAAGGCGAGGGTGTAATTTCGCCTGCGAGACGAGGCCGAGAGAGAGGACCAAAGATCCATTTCGCATCGCCGTAGAAATATGAATTTCGTTGGAAACATATGCTGGCACGCCTTCGCAAAACCTTTGGGATGTTCAGCTGCCCTTCGCTACCTGACCAGGTAGCCTGCCTTGAATCCTCATCTCTTTGTCGCGATCATCTTTAGGGTTCCAGCAACATGTGCAAGCTCCACATGTCGCGGTAAAGTATCACGATCATGTTTCGCGTCGACATGCTCGACATGCGTTGTCCTCAAGTATGGGCAAAGTGGCCAATATTGGCGGCAATTGCGTACATTGATAATATCATCGCCGACAAATATTTGCCCCCTGCTCGATAAACATCGAAGAAATGTCGAAAGTTGCCAGAGATTCGACTGCGTACGATGGAATATTGTCAGAAACTTTCGCATTTAACGCACTTTTCCCATTATTTCAAGCAATCGTACTCGGGCTGGAAACAGTGTCAAATGTCAATATTGACGTGCATCTTTATTTTCACCTTGCTATTGGCATTTTGTTTCAATTTTCATTAATCTTTGCCCCTAATAATGCTTTATGAGTATCGAGTGTTCTCCGAGGGAAAAAATGACAACGAAACGAGACGATGACGTCTCATGATTAATAGCGTGAATTCGATATGACACCATGGGATATTCCTGGCAACGAAATTCATTTCCGAAATGTTGCCAGCAATTATGTCAGCTATGCTGCGGTATCGTAAACGCGGCCTGAGACCTGTATATTTTTATTTACAGCTTCGTTCGCGCTCTCGACAGTCGTCCGTTTCCGAGTGAAAGCATTATTTTTAACGAAACTTTTATGAAATGAAACTGTAACGCCGGTTTCACATGACGACTTGTGTACACAAAACGTCCGGAAAAATTGTTGATCAAGCCTGAATAAATAATTAACTTGGCCGTTTTCGGCAAATAACAAATTCAATTAATCAACGATGAAATATGTATCCTAACCGTTGGTGTGTTATTAATTCGATCAATTAATTAACAAACTGAATTCGTTTAACGCGCAAGTACTTGGATATCGAATTCGATGTCGCGCCGCGACTTTTTTAAACCACACACCGGCAAAGTGGATTTTCAGTAAATGCAAGTCCTCAATCCTGCATCCATTAGCGAAATGCCGTAACATGTTAGCGCATGTTCATTATAAAATTCCAATAATTAACATTTTTAATTCTTAACTATCTCGTAATTAAAGATATTTTTTATTACGCAAATAACTTCTGATGACCAATAATACTAATGACACATCTGTAGCGGAATTTAATCACGTCATTGCTTACGAAGTTCTTGTCTAGATCGATACGCGAGGTACTACTTTTTAATGGCATTCAAAAATTTATAAAGTGACGTAAAGGAGCTCCACTTGGGGCTCAAACGCTACTTTAAATTTTGCACATCGGTTAATGGAAAATGAGATTGTTCAAGAGAGATGCAGAGAGAGAGAGAGAGAGAGAGACGGAAAGAGAAGTGGGCTCGACTCGTTTCGAGTTCTCGCGATCAAGGGTCAGTAATTAGCAGCGTACATAGAAAGTCAATTGCGGGCGATTATGCGCGCATCGGTGCGTAACCGAGTGCGTGCGTGCATTCGTTTGTTCGTTTGGCTGCGAACAACAATGAGGCCCGAACCGATTTTCGGCCTCCGGACGGACGGCGCGACGAGTGAGTTGATCTGATTCGAGGTAACGGAGCGAGAGCGCGTATCCGAGGGGGTTGATGGAGATCGCGCCGATGTAGAAACTCGCCCCGTTGCAATTCGCTCAAATTGAGCCGTCCAATTTGTTCGG